GCAGAAAGTTGCAGCGCTGTACAGCGCCAGTGTAGCCAAGGCCATATACAGGAAGACTCACAGGTAAAACATAGCCATCTGCAGACAATGGTCCTAGTTAATGGGAGTCATCAAGATTCCAAACCACCATTAATGGCCCACACTTTGCATAATTACAATAGGCCCTCAGAGTTATATTTCATATTTCTAGTTTCCGATACAAGAGTGGTACATTTATACAAATAGGATGATCACACTCAGTAGATTATAAGCTTTGTAATGATACCTTACAAGAAACCTTTTGCACGAACCATATCCCAGTTACATTATATTCACTTATTATCAGATTTTTATAAAACCATATAGACTGCAACGTCACAGCCATTATGTAAGTGTACATTTTAATTATAAATTTCTCTGCAACAGTTGATCACTGTAACTAGCTGTCTAAAAAATAAGCATTGGTCTGTGATAGTGCAGAGGTATAAGACCAGTTGTACATGTATCTAGTAGATCAATTGTTTTCATCCTCCCTCCTCCTGTTTGAAATGCCACCTATTCCCATCCCTCACTCAAACATCCCTTGTGCGATTACTGTTCCTGCACCAGTCATGGCCTAGATCTCTGAAATGTATTCAGGGTCTTCTCTTCTTCATTCTGCCATATTAGATTTTTAAATCATAAACAGGTGTCATTTTAATTTGGTTTTACAAATATTTTAGGGCAATTCTCATGAGCAGTTTCTTCTGTATCTCCTCTGTACCGTACATCTAAAGCAAGTACTTCACTAATACGTCTTATTTAGTACGGTGCAATTTAGTTCAGTCGGTAGGGAACTAATTTTAAGAACTCTCCTCTCTGATCCACTCATTTTGCTCCCACAGCTCGCAGCCTGCCTTCAAGTTTGTTACTCCAGGACTGCCAAGCTGTGTGTGTGTTTGTGGTACGACAAATGAGCCCTTTCCCTTCTGTGTCAATATGTCTAAAGTCACATGACCACGTCTCCCAAATTTTCTCTTTTGGGAAGAGATGTTCTTTAGTTATTTTACGAGACTGAAGACCAAATTGGAGCAGTTTCTTGGCTTCCTTTCAAAGGAGAAAAAGAAATATCATTTTGGATGCTTTGGGACAGAAACTAGGCATGTCCTTGACAAGCGTCTTCGAATGGATGGTTTATTTATTGATTTAAAATTACAAAATGGGAAGTGTTCTTCCAAAGAATCAAGGATCAAAACCTTGTCTCATTCCATCCCTTTGTACCACTCCGGCAGTGGCAGGAAACGCTAAAGCAATAGAAAAATTGTCTAGACAGGCTCTGTATCTCCAACCTCCCCTACACACACACAGTCCTCGTGAACTTTAACTCATTCCAGCTAAACTCATTTCAAACATGGTTTGCATTGGTCAACCAAACAAGGCCAAAGTGCTTTCAAAGCTATATTCAAATATGGGTCCATACCACTCCTCCAGACACAGTGTTGGTAGAGGGAGACAGAACAGATAAAGCATGATTTTTATAACCTGGTAAAACACAATTTGGCCCTGCCTGGACAGGGATATATATAAAAGCATCAAAGAGTCCTGTGGCACCTTATAGACTAACAGACGTATTGGAGCATGAGCTTTCGTGGGTGAATACCCACTTGGTCGGATGCATCCGACG